AAAAAAAAAAAAAAAAAAAGAAAAGAAAAATACTGGCACAGGTATGCTCACTTGAAAACTTCAGGTAATTTCTAGTTGGTTTTGGAATGCTTGCTAAAGTTCCTTTATAGCTTTATTTGCCCGATTTGTTTTGGTTTAGATCGAAGTTCACATTAATTTTAACGTAGCTAATGAACCTGTTACCAGGACAGTTGGAGGGGGTAGGCTAAGGTTAAATGGTCCAAGTTTCAAAAATGTTAATTTATAATCCATAATTAAGCAAGATTTAACTGTTATCGAAATTTACAAGTTTTATTCTCACAAACATGAAATACGACACAATGGTAAATGTCTCTGCATTTATGTGGATTATATAATATACACACACAGTCTATACACATGTAGTCTATTTATTTATTTAGTTAGTTAGAGATGGAGTCTCCTGCTGCCCAGGCTGGAGTGCAGTGGTACTATCTCAGCTCACTGCAACCTCCACCTCTTGGGTTGAGGTGATTCTGCTGCCTCAGCCTCCCGAAAAGCTGGGATTACAGGCACACACCACAACTCCCAGCTAGTTTTTGTATTTTTATTAGAGATAGGCTTTCACCATGTTGGTCAGGCTGGTCTTGAACTCGTGACTTCGTGATCTGCCTTCCTTGGCTTCCCAGAGTGCTGGGATGTAGTCTGTATTTTATTTTATGTTTTTGTGAGACAGTCTCGCTCCGTCGTCAAGAATTGAGTACAGTGGAATGATCTCAGTTCACTGCAACTTCCGTCTCCTGGGTTCAAGCAATTCTCCTGCCCCAGCCTCCCAAGTAGCTGGTATTACATGCGTACACCACCACGCCCAGCTAATTTTATATACTTTTTAGTAGAGACGGGGTTTCACCACGTTGGCCAGGCTGGTCTAGAACTCCTGACCTCGATCCGCCTGCCTCGGCCTCCCAAAGTGCTGGGATTACAAGCGTCAGTCACCACGCCCGGACTTGTAGTCTATATTTTAAAATAAATACTGAGGCAGCAGTGCCTAGTGAGAGCTTTGGAGTGCTGGAGTTTTGACATTCAGACTACCTGTAGTCTAATCACATATTTTACAGCTTAAATCACCGGACCTAGTAAGTTTATGGTGTCTGTTCTCACAGCAAGCCAGAGGCAGCCCCTCCTGATTTCGGGAGACTTCACACTACTCCATCAGCCCGGTTTCGAGCACCCTGCGGCAGCCTATTTCTACCTGGCTTGTCGCAAACTTTATCCGCCATTCTTCTCAATGTGCTTGTACTAGAAAACTTTACTTTCCCTCCTTTCCTTCCTGCTCTTCTCGCCTCACCCACTAGTTTCTTCGCTTTCCTAAATGTTAACAATTTTCACCCACCGTGTGCTTGGGAAGAGGCAAGCGCAAACATGCTGGTATCGCAAGCCCTGCCGATTGGCACGACTTCCTGGTTCTACCCCCTCCGCCGTTCCACTTCCGCTGACGTTGGAGGTCAGAGGTTACAGACAAGATGTCTGCTTACGGTCGCTTTGAGCAGTTGCGGAGAGGAGCATCTCTGGGACAGAAGCTTGTCCACGGTGGTTTATAGGAGCTAGGTCGAAGGAGCGAGGTTGAGGCGGTGGCGACCCGTCAGGCAGCTCCGCTGGAGGCCAGCCGGCTGCGGAACGTGACTTTTGGGGACCGCAGGAGAGCGGGGAGTGTGAGGTGCCATTGACCAGTAATGCCCGGTTTCCCCCAGGGAAGCCGGGAAGCCAAACTCCGCTGGAGCGCTTCATGCCGCCGACTGGTTTAGAGCCCACCAGAATGAACAGGAAGAAAGGAGACAAGGGCTTTGAAAGCCCGAGGCCATATAAATTATAAGTATTTTTTCATTTCCCTTTCTTCCTTTTGGTTTTGTTGCCATTAACTATATATTTGTGATTGCTTGAAACTGAATTGTTGGGCCTGGGAAACCTAGTGGGAAAACTAGAATTTACTCAATGTGATAGAAACGGTGTTTGTACGGGAAAAATGTTTTGAGTGACAGCGTTATTCAGCAAATTTAATTCTCGTTTCAGGTTACTAAAGTTTTTTTCTAAGTGCCGTACTAGATTGTATTTCTGTTAAATCTATTTTCATGGCGGTTGCCAGATTTTTAAAAATTATCCCAATTCGTGGAGCGTTTTTTGTTTTGTTTTTTAAGACAGAGTGTTGCCCTTTCGCCCAGGCTGGAGTGCAGCGGCGCGATCTAGGCCCACTGCAACCTCCACCTCCTGGGTTCAAGCTTTTCTCTTGCCTCAGCCTGTGGAGTAGCCGGGATTACAGGCATGTGCCACCACGCCCGGCTAATTTTTGTATTTTTAGTAGAGACGGGGTTTCACTGTGTTGGCCAGACTGGTCTCCAACTCCTGACCTTATGATCTGCTCGCCTTGACCTCCCAAAGTGTTGGGATTACAGGGTGAGCCACTGCTCCCGACCCTAGTTCATAGAGTTTTAAAATAAAATGAAATATTGACATGTAATTTTGAATTACTTAGAACATAGCCCTAATTTATATCTGGGTAGAATTATACTTTCATTTAACAATATAATTTATTTTTTTCCTTATTTTCTTTTTATGTTTATTAATATACAACCCATCAGGTCGTCTGCATCAACAACATAAATTTCCAGAGAAAATCGGTTGTGGTAAGTTTATTCTCAACAATTATAAACAGTAGCAAGTCCGCCCCTCAGAGTTCTTAGAAAGTTAATACTCTTCCAGATAATTGTGTTTCAAGAATAGGTAAGAATTAAAATTAAGGTCTATATGATTACAAGTTTCATAGACCTTCCACTAATACCTGTCGCCTCCCAAATTCTCCCTTTCTTTTTTTTCAATTTCCTAATTAAAATTGTATTCCTCTTTATCTGGTGAATAACATGAAAGCATGTATAGCCGAGCATTTTAGAATTGTGCGCGAAACAAGTATAAGCCCATAGTGACATTTCTTCTATGAAAAACTTAAGATTAATACACTCACTGATTTAGCTTCTAAGAGGCCACTTTTGCTTCTTGACTGACTTGGTTTAGGTGGTGTTGCTTTGTAGTGAAGTTTTAGACAGAGTATTTGAGATCTAGAAACCCTCTACCTCCCCCACCCCACCCCGCCACACACAGTTTAGATGTATGGCTTGCTGATATTATCAATTTTAGGAAAAAGCTTGAACACTCAAGGTTTTTGTTTTGTTTTATTGAGACAGAGTCTTGCTCTGTCACCCAGGCTGGAGTACACTGCTGTGATCTTGGCTCACTGCAACCTCCACCTCCTGGGTTCAAGCAGTTCTCCTACCTCAGCCTCCTGAGTAGCTTGAATTACAGGTGTGCACCACCACACTCACCTTATTTTTGTATTTTTAGTGGAGCCAGGGTTTCTCCTTATTGACCAGGCTGGTCTCGAACTCCTGACCTCAAATGATCCACCTGCCTTCTGTCTCCCAAAGTGCTGGGATTATAGGCATGAATCACTGCACCCAGCCAAAAACTCAAGTATTTATTTAATTTACCTTTTTAGGGGTACCTCTATTACATAGACTAAAATGTTAAAGAGAACTGATTTTCCTTGAGTGATGGTGTCAACTTCTCTGTCAGATTTGTGACTTGCGTATGTATATGTTTACTTAGGATGAGCTGAATAGATAGAAAAATGTCACTTTTCGTAAGAATCATAGAATCTTAGATTTGTAATGTGCCTAAAAGGTTTATTAAATCTAGCCTCCTCATTTATGGAATTTCTCATGCAGTCTTCCCTGTATTATGTACCTTGTGTCTTATAGTAGGATACTTTAGTTGTATTATGTTGTATGAATTGGGTAGAAAAGATAAGGGAATTAGGGAGTCTAGTTCAGAGGTTACTGCAATAATCTAGAGGGGAAATGGTGAAGGCCTAAATAAAGATAGCATTAGTGAAAATGGAGTAGAAATAGAGTTGACATGATTGAATTAGTGAACGTAAATTTAGCCATTAATATATATATATTCTTACATATATTATATATATATATTCTTATATATTAAGATTCAATCTTCATAATTAGTGAGGTAGATAATATTTTAATCCTAATATTATATATTAGGCAGCTGAAAGAATGGAGGTTAAGTAACTTTCTCAAGGGCATAAAGTTGGAAAATGATAAAACCCTTTTTAATCAGGGATGACCTAAGAGTCCAGTGCACTTCATATATCATTCCCCCTTCCACCTCTGTGGTCCCTGAGGAATCAATAGACAGAAGTTGCACATGGCTTTTTCAGGACTGCTATAACGGAGTTGTGGATGACTTAAGTTTCCCATTGGAAACTTTGGTTGGATTGGGTGTGGGTTAGGATCTTGGCAGGAAATAAATGGCAGATACACACATGTTAATTGAGGGAAATGAATGGACCATTTAGAACAGAGTTAAGAGAAACCAACGTGAGGTAGAGGAACCCTCTGAGCTAGCAACAGTGAGGAACAGTTGCCACTTCCAGGCCTGAAACAACAAAGGGAAGAAGTTACTAGAACCTACTGTCACCATGGAAAGAGTCACGTAGGATCTGTGTCTTTTAATAAAAGAATGAAGCTGCTGTTTACCTGCAGCCTGGCAGAAAGGAATCTGGGGTAATTAATATAAACTTGCTTTCCTTCTGCTTTCCAGTTTCCTTTTTGTGGAAACTGTTGGATCAACTCAGTCAGAAGCCGGAAAGGTAGAGCCCGCTTAATACTAGGGTATTGAGTAGGGTAGAGAACAGATCAGGAGGGGCAAAAGGAGAATAATCAGAACAGACTACCTTTTTAACCCCAGCACATCCACTGTTGCTTTTGTTGAGATGAAAAGCTAGTTCTCCTAACGTGGGGACTTAGAAAGTCCTGTGAGCCACTGAAAGAGTTGGCAATGGCTGAATACTTGTTTTTTAAATGAAGTGTTACTTGAACACAGCCATACCCATTTATTTATATATTGACTATGGAGGTTTTGGAGCTACACTGGCAGAGCTGAGTAGCTGAGACAGTGACTGTGTGACCCACAAAGCTTAAAATATTTCTGTCTGGCACTTTAAGAGAGGGCTTGCTAAACCCTGAGCTATTCTATTAGTGTGAGAAATGACAT